AGCCTGCTAAAATTACAATAATAACGTTTATGTATTTTTTATTCTTACTGAATTTACTCAGTTTGGTCAGAGATTCTCGCCTACATGAGTGCAACTTGCTGCTTTAATTTTCTCGTCGCTCAATATGGGTCCACACCGCCAGATACAAACACAATATGTCAAATGTTCGTTATAAACAAATATAGCTTTCACTTCTTTGAAATAATGTCTCAAGACTACAGGATTCAATCTATTCGCTATCCGCAGCTCCATCTATTAAATTGCCACCATTGTCAGAAATAAAATCACAATGTTGACAAGATATGACATGATCCCTCAGAAATCCTTATAATATGTTCATTTGCTGCTCAATACATTTCTTATTATTTGCAAAGCTGAAAACAGTTGTGCTGCTTAATATTTTTTTCAGGATTCTTTGATGAATACGTTTTTTTTTTTAACAATCTATTTGAAATAGAAATCTTTTACAAGATTTGTAATTTTTCATATTAATTTCTTTAAGAAAAATCTTACTGACTTCAAACTTTAGAAAGATATATATATAGAGAGAGAGAGAGAGAGAGACTTAGTTATCTTGATCCTAAAAATATGCAAAATATAATTTCTCTCTCTCTGTTTTGTTTCTGGTTTGAAATATGTTTCTTAGCAAGTTTCATGAGACACAAAGGTGTTAGAAGGCAGTAAATCAGGTGTAACTGAGGTGACGACACACTGGAGAAACACTGGACTGTCTTTAGTGCGTAATGAAGCGTGTGAGTGTACTGCATAAGGTTATCTTGATCCTAAAAATATGCAAAATATAATTTCTCTCTCTCTGTTTTGTTTCTGGTTTGAAATATGTTTCTTAGCAAGTTTCATGAGACACAAAGGTGTTAGAAGGCAGTAAATCAGGTGTAACTGAGGTGACGACACACTGGAGAAACACTGGACTGTCTTTAGTGCGTAATGAAGCGTGTGAGTGTACTGCATAAATCACATCTCTCGCCAAAACCACCCACAATATGATGCATAAAACAAACCGAAAGCCTTTCATTTCATCTCTAGACGACTAGAGAAGATCACAAACTCAACACTAAAACCTCACTTTTATAGACGATAAAGACACAGAGACATTTGTAAATACAATCAGCTAACGTTAAACATAACCAAAGCCTTTGGTTTTCCTCTCGCAGAAGGAATTTGGCTACATATCGTACGTTACTTCAAACGAAATGACGTCAGTTCATCGAAACGCCACGAAGGTCTACGAGCACGTGATCGAAGCCGGCCTGATGTGGATCTCAATGCCCAAAGGTCGTCTGCAGACTATTGCTGGAGATATTGCTTGCTACATCGTCGGAGTCGGTCGGAAACGCTCTGATTGTGCAACCAATCCGAACTTTCCCGGTTAACCTGAAGAGAACGCAGTTTCCTGAAAGTATCGAGATGCAGAGCTGACCCGTGATTGGCCGAGCCATCGCTGCGAAACGCGCTACTTTGGCACTTTGGGATTTCGCCGTGCCAGAATTGGGCGTCGCAACGTTTCTAATGCTACGACATCGCAACCGAAAGCACAAGAGACCGAATGAAGTGCACCGGGGGAATAAAATGAAAGAAAACACACAAAAACAAATCATATGTATTTGATAAAAAGTCAATCAAAAAGTTGTCAAAGACGGATCTTCATTTAAACTCATGAAATATGGCACCAGAATAGATAAGTTAAAGCTCTGAGCTGGGTTTGAGAGGAAGTCGAAGCGACCGCTGCAGTGCATCATGGGTACAGAGAGCAGAGAAATGGCACAAACATTCGGGACACCGAACCTTCATTTGGCCCTGAAAATCTTTGTGGTAAAATTTGGCCGAGGTCATTTGGTAAGCATTGGGTTCACAGTCAATTCTTAAAGATATAGCTCACCCAAAATACTTTGGGGTTGACGGTAGCCATTGACTTCCATAGTATGCAAAAATACTAGTAAAAATACTATGGAAGACAATGGCTACCGTCAACCGTTTGGTTCCCAACATTCTTCAAAATAAGATATTTTGGTTACCAACATTCTTTAAAAGATATTTTGAAGATATTGCGAAGGATGTTGTGAACCAAACAGTTGACGGTAGCCATTGACTTCCACAGTAGGACAAAAAATACTAAGTAAATGGCTACCGTCAACCGTTTGGTTCCCAGCTTTCTTCAAAATAAGATATTTTGGTTACCAATATTCTTTAAAAGATATTTTGAAGATATTGCGAAGGATGTTGGGAACCAAACAGTTGACGGTAGCCATTGACTTCCACAGTAGGACAAAAAATACTAAGTAAATGGCTACCGTCAACCGTTTGGTTCCCAGCTTTCTTCAAAATAAGATATTTTGGTTACCAATATTCTTTAAAAGATATTTTGAAGATATTGCGAAGGATGTTGGGAACCAAACAGTTGACGGTAGCCATTGAATTCCATAGTAGGACAAAAAATACTAAGTAAATGGCTACCGTCAACCGTTTGGTTCCCAGCTTTCTTCAAAATAAGATATTTTGGTTACCAATATTCTTTAAAAGATAGGTTGAATATATTGCGAAGGATGTTGGGAACCAAACAGTTGACGGTAGCCATTGAATTCCATAGTAGGACAAAAAATACTAAGTAAATGGCTACCGTCAACCGTTTGGTTCCCAGCTTTCTTCAAAATAAGATATTTTGGTTACCAATATTCTTTAAAAGATATTTTGAAGATATTGCGAAGGATGTTGGGAACCAAACAGTTGACGGTAGCCATTGACTTCCACAGTAGGACAAAAAATACTAAGTAAACGGCTACCGTCAACTGTTTGGTTCCCAATATTCTTCAAAATAAGATATTTTGGTTACCAACATTCTTTAAAATATCTTATTTTGAAGCATTCTGGGAACCAAACAATTGACGGTAGCCATTTACATAGTATTTTTTATCCAACTATGGAAGTCAATGGCTACCGTCAACTCTTTGGTTCCCAACGTTCTTCAAAATAAGATATTTTGAATATGATTTTTTGAAGAATGGAAGTAAATGCCTACTGGCAACTTTTAGGACTTCAAAATAACTTATTTTGTGTAAACAGAAGAAATAAAGTCATACAGGTTTTAATAAGTCGAGGGCAAGTAAATGATGACAGAAATAACATTTTTGGGTGAACTTTCATCCCTTTATGGTTTCTTTGAACGACGGCGTCAATTTCGTCCCTCATAACATCGTACGAGGGGTAGGTAAAAAATTGTGCAAGTAAAAATGGGGAAATACAATCACATTTTTGGAAGAAGCGCCAAACGTTTAAGGTTCAATGTCCCGTGAAGTAAGAGACCGGAAGAATAAGCAGAATAATGCCCCGTTTCACTGATCGGCACGATTCTACATCTGTTTACAGCTATTTACATCAAAGGTTTCTCTTGTTTATACAACACAACTTGGTAGCACTTCTTTTTTTTTTTTTTTTTTTTTTTTCTTTTTTTTTTTACTTCTCCAAAACTTCTTCCCTAATCATAAAAGCCAACTTACATCAAAATATACTTACTACAAGTCAACACAACTAACAAAATATATATAACAGAAGTCAAACACGTAGAAAATCTGAGGTATTTCTGGTCTGAGGTGGTCTGTGGTTCATGAACAATAACTTCTTTTTGTCCTTTCACAACTAATTTTATTGTTTAGAGTTGCGCTCGTTCGTCTCGGAAGCCTTGTGAATGTCTGGTGACGCACGGTTGCATCTGAGGATGAACTTTACTGAGAAGATACAGAAAATATCACGAGGTTTCATCCAAACAGCAGAAGCAGCACTGTGGAAACTCGCTCTTGAATTATGGCATATGGAAACGTGGATCACTAGCCACTTTTAAGACAAAATAAATATCATTCTTGTGTTTTTTGTCTTTGCTAATGAGTCAAACGTTGCCTGGTCAAAGTGAAGTTTGACCATCTCTAGTTTTGAGCCCCAAACTGAAGTCTCAGTATCGTCGGAGGTCAGATCTCAGATTTGGTCCCTGTTAGAAAGAGAGGTAATACATGAAGGGACCCGACCAAAACACACCAAACCAAACACTTCCCGGGTGAATCGCAGAAAACAGGGTCGTATTTCAGCTTAAAGTCAAAGAAAAAAATAAGAAATTGTATTTTGCTTCAGCTAATATTTAGAAATGTTTAATATTTTCACAACAGTTAAGCACTTTCCCCCCAAAATTATCTTTAAAAAATCACTTATTTTAATTTATAGACTATTGCAGTACTTGTTGGACTATCTGAACTGATTTTCTTTTTAAATTAAATTCAGCATAAATTATTATATTGCAGTAATAATTAGAATCAGCATTGATGCACTTATAATTAATTCCAGCATAATCTAATTAATTAGAATCAACATTGAGAATAATTAGAATTACAACATTTTTTTTAATATATCATTTAATATTTGTTGTACCTGTACTGATTTTTTAAAATTAAAATCCACATAAATTATTATATAATAATTTATGTAGTCAACATTGAGAACAATGAGAATTACCCCAAAAAAACAAAAAAACATCTGGATGCATTATGGTCATTAGAATTTCTGGTAAAACGTAGAAATTACCAGTCTAAATTAATTAATTACACAATTACCAGAAATAATATATTTAATTACGGTCATAAGAACTTGAGGGAAAATGTGCTGAAAGGGGTCATATGATGCTGCTAAAAAGAACATTATTTTGTGTATTTGGTGTAATGAAATGTGTTTATGCGGTTTAAAGTCCACGTGAGACGACCCCGGGCTGGACTCCGCTTCGGGCGTGTTAGAACGAGCCGTTTTAGGTAGGCGTGGCTGACTCTGAACTTTTATAAAGAATAGCTCTTTGGATTTGAGACTTTAGTCTTTGCAACTTTACAGATCTTCTTTATGCACCAAGAGCTTGTAACACTCCAAAGAGAAAGAACAATTGAAATCGCATCATATGACCCCTTTAATTATAATGCCACAATTAAAAAAAAAAAAATCTTAATGCCCCTTAAAAGCCTTTATTTTATTTACAACAAATATTATTTCTTATTTTTTTCCTTTGATTTCGAGGTGTTTTGACCCGGAATTTCACTCTTCTGAGTCCAAAACACATGTTGCATTATTACAAGAGAAACTAGACAGGAAAAACCAACACTTACGTTCATACGGGCCAAACCTTTTATGGTCTTTTTTTCTATTTTCAACAAACTCTGAGCACCAAACACACACACACACACACACAAACTCTCAGCACCAAACACGCACACACTCACTCACTCGCGCACACACACACTCACTCGGTCTTGCATGTTTAGTGTTAAATTCATCAGGGCACCGCTATATTTCTCTCTGTCCTGTAATGACGTGGGAAAGGCAGTCATGGACCCCTTGACACTGGATACCTGAGAAAGATTTCCGTACCAAACCTCCCATATTTCCACATGCAAGAGTTTCCAGCCATATCCACTCGATAAAAGCCCACCACAAAATAAAACCCGAAACAAAAGAAATAAAGAAAGAAAAAGGAATTAGTCCAGATGTCTTCTCCGTTGTGTTCCTCAACACCCGTTAGTTCCGTAAAAGACACGTTTTCCGTAATTCCAAACAGCACACTGTTGGAAAGAAAAAGAGAGAGAGAAATAAAAAGCGAAATCCCGGCGAGGAGGTCGGGTTGCGCGTGTAACAGTCATCATGATCCTCGCGGGGTTTGCAGCACTGTTGAATCTTCAGAGGAACTGGTTGCTTCGTCGATCCGAACGGAAAACCCAGAAGAAGAAGAGCGAGGAAAATCAACGGAATCGGCAGAACTGAAACGTCGCCGGTCGGCATTCATTCGTCGGCACCTGAATGCATGTTAAAAAATCTTCTGCGTTTGCTCGGATGATAAAAATACAGTAGAGAAGTGTGCTGGTAGTTACTGATCCGATCAGAAAAATAACAATAACAATAATAATAATGAAGTTTAAAAACGTTAGGATAGAATAGCAGCTGCTCCGATGTGGTTTGAGATGGGAGGGTCAGATGCTGGGCTCTTTGGGAGGCAGGTCCACGTTGGTGAGCGACATGGAAAGCAGGCAGTCTGAGGTAGTGACGCTCGCCAGGCGGCGGATCTGAGAGATTCTCTCCTCCACGCAGCCGGCTGATAACCGCGCCTCCGCGTCGTGATCCCAGCACTCCTCGATCGTCTCGCACAACTGCGCCAGACCCTGCGCCACACAAACACACCATCTATCTGAACTGTGTTAACCGAAATACAGTAAAATACATGTGACCCTGCAGCACAAAAGCAGTGTTAAGTCGCTGGGGGATAATTGTAGCAATAGCCAACAATACATTGTATGGCTCAAAATTATACATTTCTCTTCTATGCCAAAAATCATTAGGATATTAAGTAAAGATCATGTTCCATGAAGATATTTTGTATGTTTCCTACATTAAAACTTAATGTTTGATTAGTAATATGCATTGCTAAGAACTTCATTTGAACAACTTTAAAGATGATTTTCTCAATATTTAGATTTTTTTGCACCCTCAGATTCCAGATTTTCAAATATTGTCCGATCCTAACAAACCATACATCAATGGAAAGCTTATTTATTCAGCTTTCAGAGGATGCAAAACTCTCAATTTCGAAAAATTGACACTTATGACTGGTTTTGTGCTCCAGGGTCACATATGGACTTATGTCCACTTATCAAACTGATCACAGCTAGTTTCAAAAGCAACGGTTCTCATTTTCATTTAGTTTAGCGTGATGTACTAAAACAAGCAAAACTGTAGAAAAAATATAGAAATATTAAAACATTAAAAAAACAAAAACTACTAAAAATTACAAAATTGTTAACTAGAATTTAAAATGAAAATGTAAAATATAAAAATACAAATGTATTAATACAAATTTATAGTATCTCAGTTATACTAAAATAACACTACTTTGAAGTTCCCTAATATTTTAGATATCTAGTTTTCAGTTTTTCATTTTCATATATATTTTTTAAAATGTAAAAAAAAAACATATATATTTTAAGTTTCACTGGATCAATTTATTTATTTTTTGCCAGACAATGCTGACAATCACAGCATATTTTTACAGTAAAAATATAAATAATGATTAAAAAATAAAAAAATAAATAATTTACATTTATGCTTTCAGCACACTTTTATCCAGAGCAACTTACAAAAGAGGAACAAAACAAATCGTCAGAGGCAACAGTATCTTCAATATACAATGGCATGTCTATTAGAATAGCTTTATTTTTGTGTAAATAATGAAGTGATTTATTATGTATTATTTTTTTTTTTTTTGAGTTATAAGACTTTTGTAAACCTAAAGTCATAATGTTTAGGTAATGGTGCCTTTACTCTGGAAATTAAAGTGAATTTTATGCATCTAGTTTATTATTATTAATATTTTTTGTTGTAATTTCATAATTTTTATGTTTGGAAGAAGAAAATATTGTATTATAATCAGTCTAAGTATGTAGTTTATAAAAGGTGCAACAACTAAAAATAAATAAATAATATATATACATATTTGTAAAAATAAATATAAAATTTCAAGTCAAATTTGCATATCTATTTACTTCTGGTATTAGCATTGATCCTTAAATTGAATGAATAAAATATAATAATAATAATAATAATAAATATATTCAGGCCCATTTAAAGAATTCTGTCAAATTTTGTGTGCAAATTCACCAAAAATCTTCCTGGTTGTATGAAAAAGAACTGTGCTCATATGATCTGAGCCGTATGGTTTTGTTTTGGTATGAAGAGACACTCACTGAATGCTTGAGCCAGCAGTCCTTAAACACAGGCCTCATCTTCTTATGAACCACCAGATCCTGAAGATCCTCCAGAGACGGATGCTGGCCGATCTCCTCCTCAAACGGCAGCATGTACTCGTCTACAGGACCTGAGGGAACACAGCACACAGCTGGAACAGCAGTATGCAAGACGTCTGGAAAGGGGGCGGAGCTTACATGCTCTGAACTGACTCTGATTGGTCAGATACGATGGATCTGATGGAATTTCAGTAGTTCGTCGTCATTTTTTTATGGATTTAATAGACGGAACGCAATTTAAGAGACAATGTTAAAAATTTAGAGCCTTTATAAAATTCACAACTTAGAAGCAGGGTTATTACAGTTGAAATTAAGACCATTAAAAAACTAAATCAAATAAATGTTAACTGGAAAACAAAATGTATATATACAGTTATATTATAAAAAATATATAACATTTTTATATATATATAAATTCTCATTTTAATTTAGTTTAACTTGATGCACTAAATAACAAATAAGTAAAACTGAAATTAAAATTAATCAAAAACTACATAGGCATATAAAAAAAAAAAAAATTACTAAAAATTACAAAAGAAAATTACTAAAATTTTATGTAAATTTGCCTAAAACTAAAAATATATATATATATATATAAACAATTTCTCTCTATATATGCACACACACAAAAATTACTAAAATCTTAACGATAAAAATGAAAACGGAAAATATAAAAATAAAACAGATTCAAAATATTTATAAAAACTATAATAGTATCTCAATGATACTAAAATAAGACCTGCTTTTAAGTTCCCGAACATTTCAGATTTCTACTTTTTAACTTTTACCTTTTTTATATTTTACAAGTTTAATTTTTAAAATCCAACATTTAGAATCTAAAATTTTAAAAATCAAAAAATTATTTGAAAATAAATATGTGTCTCTGCAGCACAAAAGCAGTGTTAAGTCTCTGGGGGATATTTGTAGCAATAGCCAACAATACATTGTATGGGTCACAATTATACATTTCTCTTTTATGCCAAAAATCATTAGGATATTAAGTAAAGATCATGTTCCATGAAGATATTTTGTAAATTTCCTACCGTAAATATATCAAAACTTAATGTTTGATTAGTAATATGCATTGCTAAGAACTTCATCTGAACAACTTTAAAGATGATTTTCTCAATATTTAGATTTTTTTGCACCCTCAGATTCCAGATTTTCAAATATTGTCCGATCCTAACAAACCATACATCAATGGAAATCTTATGTATTCAGCTTTCATAAGATGCATAAATCTCAATTTAAAAAAGTTGACCCTAATGACTGGTTTTGTGTTCCATATATATATATATATTTTTACTGGGTCAGACTTTTGTGTCTGACAGGAAACAGCTGTTAGTATAATTTCCTCCCAATGCCCCAGCGCTCTCACCGTCTGCAGCTTTGCAGCGCGACACCAGCTCCCACAGCACCAGCCCCACGGCGTACATGTCTATCCTCAGGAAGGCGTCCCGCTGGAAGTTAATGGCCCCCTCCAGCACCTCCGGAGCCATGTAGCGGCGCGTCCCGACCTGACCGTGTGTGTCTCCCGGAGGCTTCCCCGGCTCGAAGCGCACCGCCAGCCCCAAGTCCCCCAGCACCGCGCTGAGGTCGCTCCTCAGCATCACGTTCTTGCTCTTGAAGTCTCTGCGGACGAATACGAGTGCAGTTATATCTGCGGTGACTCTCAGCGGCTGACAGGGGGGGATGTTAAAGGGTTAGTTCACCCAAAAATGAAAAGTAGTCCATAAATTACTCACCCTCAAGCCATCCTAGGTGTATATGACTTTCTTCTTTCAGACGAATCCAGTCGGAGTTATATTAACAATTGTCTTTGATCTTTCAAGCTGTTTAATGCCACTCAGCGGGTGTTGCATGCATCAGTCCAAAAGAAGTTAAATAAAAATCGCCCATCCATAAAAAGTGTCTCTCACGGCTCCGGGGGCTGAACAAAGTCCTCCTGTAGCGAATCGATGCGTTTTTGTATGAAAAATATCCATATTCAAAACGTAATAATCACTTTAATGTAGCGTGCACCAAGAGTTGTACACAGAAGCAGCTCCGGGAGCATAACGTATGAGTTCAGCGCAGCGCCGGTGAGTCTCGTGAAAACCAACGTTTGTTAACAGGAGCAAAAGAAGCAACGCTTCCTTACTTTAGCAAAGGAAAACCAGTCTCCTCTTGGCTTATATCCAAATCCTCCAACATTCTTCTTTACAAATCCTCGTTTTGTACTTCTAATTAGTGACCGTTGTTTTGTTTTGATCTCTCCGCTGCGCTTCCACGTGCGTCACTTTTGACCGGCGCATGCGCAACACGGACCTCATATGGTTATATGGTTATAATATGGTTATTTTTCTTACAAAAACGCATCGATTCGTTCACCCCCCGGAGCCGTGTGAGACACGTTTTTTAATGGATGGGCGATTTTTATTTAACTTCTTTTGGACTGATGCATGCAACACCCGCTGAGTGCCATTAAACAGCTTGAAAGATCAAAGACCATTGTTAATATAACTCCGACTGGATTCGTCTGAAAGAAGAAAGTCATATACACCTAGGATGGCTTGAGAGTGAGTAATTTATGGACTACTTTTCATTTTTGGGTGAACTAACCCTTTAAGCTCACCTGTGAGCGATGGCCGGTTTAGGACCCTCTCCTTTAGAGCGAGGCACATCCTCGTGAAGATACGCCAGACCGCAGGCCATCGTCTCCGCGATGTGACACAGATCGCTCCAGCTCAGCACGCTCCCCTTCAGATAATCCGTCAGCGAGCCCTGATATTCAGCACATCACAAACACTTACTCGAACACTGAACATACTTCGTATAATGGAACGTTTTGAAGAATTAATGAGACAAATTTGCGCAAAATGGCCCCCTCATGATCTCTCAATCGTTTTATCTTTAACCATTATAAAATTGGGACTATTTTAATTAGATTTTATTTTTATATTTCCTGTTTTCATTTTAATTTTAGTGAAAGTTTCATTAAATTTGTTGGTTTTGTCATGTTTATTAGTTTTCGTATTTTAAAAAATATCTATATAGTTTTTATTCATTTCAGATTTAGTTATTTTTATTAATATGTCTATATAGTTTTTTTAATTTTTTTATTAGTTTTAGTTATTTTAGTACAAATACGACAAATCATAAAACTTTTTTTTTTTTACCTACTTTTTTTATATCTAATATATCACTTATCTACATTATATTTATGTCTAATATATACATTTTACTTTTAATTTTAATTTTAGAGAAAGTTTTAGTCATTTTTATTAGTTTTTTTTTTTTTAAATGGCCATTTAGTTTGTTTTGTTCATTTTATTTCAGTTTTTAGTTATTTTATTATTTATTTTGTAATTTAATTTTTTTTTAATTCTATGTAGTTTTAATTTTTATTTCAGTTTTAGTTTGTTATTTTAGTACAAATATGACAAACACATTTACAGTTTTTATTTTTATATACTTTAATATTTATATTACATTATATTATATTTATATTTCTTCATAGCTATATATATGCAAATACACACACACACACACACATATATATATATATATATATATATTTTATTATTATTATTATTCTGACTATTATTTCACGTCAGGCTTTACAGAGTGAAATTTTCATCAGAGTTAAAAGTTTCTATAGGTTCAGTTTTGTATATGTTTGCCTAAGTCTGACGACCTCTGACCCCTCACCCGCTCATGAAACTCGGTGATGAGCCAGAACTCCGTCTCCAGGTTGCTTCCGCGTTTCTCGGCGGCGATGAAGTGCAGCAGGTTCTCGTGCTTCATGCCCGGCGTGGAGAACATGTCACGCTCGTTCTGCCACGACTGCTTGTCCTGTCGATCACACACACACACACACACACACACACACACAGTTATATAATGCTTTTATCTAACCACACACACACTGACTGACGGTGACCGATGTCAACTCTGCTTATGTGAAACTTCAGCTTACATCTCTATTGTCTACATCAGCCGTAGGATTTTCATTAAAGCAAAAAAATATATATATTTATATATAAGAACCTGAATATGTTAAATTATATATGGTAAATTATATATATAAACACGTAGTTAATGCATTTGTCATCACTGTAACAGTTTCCCGCAGACACAACATAATTGTGCACCTGAATTGGGAAGATCTTCACAGCCACATATTCATTCATCATCTGAGCTTTCCAGACGCAGCCGAAGCGTCCTCGAGCTTTAACCTCCAGCAGCTGCAGAGGCTTCAGACCCAGCAGCGGCGAGGGAGGAGACGCACCCGGATCCTGGAAACACAGCACAGAACTCTGTCAGAAGCACCACTAGGTGGAGCCACAGAACGACACAGAGCTGGAAGTAAAGGCATGCAGGGAATCCTGGGAGACGCGTGAGGAACAGACAGCAAAGGGACGGACCTCGTTGATGTCCACGTGTCCGTAAGGAGGCTTGCGGTGCCGGTACATCCAGAAGCCCAGCAGCAGCACCACGGAGAGCATCGTGACGGGAAGCAGAGAGTAAACCAGAACATTGAGCAGCGCCAGCGGAGGAGGCTCGATCACTGACCAACCAGAGACAAGAACAACATCCTTCTGTCACATGATCAGCTAGAAAACAAACAGCTCTCACTCGGAAACCTGATTTAGTGAGCGAATAAATACACCATTAAATACATACGTTAATTCAAAAAATAAATCAATAAATACACATGTTAAAATACTATAACTATAAATATATAAAAATAAATAAAATAAGTTAATAAAAAATAAATCATCAATAAAATGAACCAAAAATAAATGTAAAAATAAAAAAACAAAACAATAAATATATTAAAATGATACATAAAACAAATAGAAAATAAGTAAATTAAAAATAATAAATACATAAATGTACACAAAAAAAGATAATTAAACTAATACATTAAAATAAAAAAATTAAAATAAATACACATTTTAAAATGACAAAAATTAATGACTATAAACCTATAAAAATAAATAAAATAAGTTAATAAAAAAATTTTTTATCAATAAAATAAACCAAAAATAAATGTAAAAAAAATTATAAAACATAAAACAATGAATACATATATTAAAATTATATATAAAATAATAAATTCACTAAAAATAAACAAAAATGTATAAATAATAAAAATGTTAATTATACAAATACATTAAAAAATAAATAAATAAATAAATAAATACACATTTTAAATTGACAAAAAATGAATGAATATAAACACATAAAAATAAACAAATTCATAAAAATATATATAAAATACCATTAAAATAAAAAATAAAAATTTTTCTGTCAATATGGGGTGCTGTGTGTACATTAATGAGGAAAAAAAATTAACTTAAATGATTTTAGCAAATGGCTGCAATATAACAAAGAGTGAAAAATTTAAGGGGGTCTGAATACTTTCCGTACCCACTGTATACAAATTATACATAAGAGAATAAATTACTTAAAAACGATTAAAAATAAAGACATAAATAAAATTAATGCCCTAAAAATAATTTGTTAAATTTGTTAATAATGTGTCATCACAAACAAAAGCCAACAAATAAAAAAAATAAATAAACATTCATTTAAAATAAATAAATGAACAAATAATAAATCAAAACATATAAATAAGTCAACTCATTTGAATAAATAAATAAATGCAGTTAATGCATTTGCCGTCACTGTTTAGTATGAACAGTTTCTCTTAAACACAGCATGAATGTTTTGGTGACTGTAAAAAGCGCATGAATATTTCAGCACTGAGGACGTTTATGATACATTAAAGGCACAATATGTAAGATTCTTTTAATTAAAATATCCAAAAACCGCTAGAACAGTGTTATATATTTTGCTGACTTGTGTACTTACTAGTGCTGGGCGGTATACCGGTTCATACCGAATACCGGTGTTTATTTTTGCTATGATATTAATTTTTTAAATACCGCAATACCGGTGTATGTCACTTAAAACACCGTTGGGAACGCGACACTGTTTGAAACGGGTCCCTTTTCACTGTTGCTCTGTGGTGAGGGAACAGCTGTATGTGTTACTAAGCGTGAAAGTTCAGAAACTGAAGCTGTAGAACTAATAGAACGTGATGACACAGAAGAACTCATCCACAATATCCACACTGACCTCCACAAATATCCACCGCCCCTGCCATCAGCTCCCGCGTCTCACACACACCAGCGCCACTTTAGCACTAGATTTAGCAACTTTCAGACCCTTTTAGCGGCTTTTTTCCCAGAGAATATTCTTACTGACAAACCTAGCGGCTTTTCTGGATAAACGTTTCCTATCACCTGTCGCTTACTGATTGTTTGGAATTATAAATACATAATTTATAACAGAACTTTCAAATGTATCTAGTATGATAAAAGCTCCTCTGCTTTACCCCACATACGCACGACCGGAAGCAGCGGAAGCGCTCGACTGTGGCATAATAAAAGCTCCGCTGCTTTACCCCACATACGCACGACCGGAAGCAGCGGAAGCGCTCGACTGTGGCATAATAAAAGCTCCGCTGCTTTACCCCACATACGCACGACCGGAAGCAGCGGAAGCGCTCGACTGTGGCATAATAAAAGC